GGTTTAGGGTTTGCAGCAGCAGCAGCAGCAACGGGCACTGGATTATCTGGAAACGCAGATATGTCGGCGATGGTGCCGCCGCAAGAAGCAGCAAACTGCAAAAGCAGCAGCAGCAGCGGAGAATAAAAACTGCGGCAGCAGCAGCAGCGGCGGCGGAGAATAACAGCTGCAGCAGCAGCAGCAGCAGCAGCAGCAGACCATGTATTGCGCGTTGCGAAGCGCCTTCCTGCTGCGCCGCAGGCAAGCAGAAGAGCAGCAGGGCCGCCTGCATGCCCCAGGGCTATTGTGGTGACTGTCAGCTGCTGCTGCTGCTGCTGCTGCCTCCTGCTGCTGCTGCTGCCTGCTGCTGCTGCTGCTGCTGCTGCTGCGCGGTGCTGCAGCAGCAACGCCGCCACCGGCAGCCACTCCAAGTCCCCGCCCTGCTGCGCTCCCTGGGCATCTGTCCCGTAGCCTGCAGCGGCGCAAACCCTAAACCCTAAATCCTAAACCCTAAACCCTAAACCCTTTTTAGCTCCAACCTCAGAGACAGAGGGACAACCAAACAGACAAACTGGCGCTGCAGGAGGGAAGCAGAGGCAGCAGCAAGAAAAGTCCGCTGCAGCAGCAAATAAAAGCTGCAGCAGCAGCTAATAAACGCTGCTGCTGGTGCAAGTAGAGGCTGCAGCAGCAGCAAATAAAGGCTGCTGCTGCAGCAAGCAGATGCTGGTGCTGCAGCAGCCTGCGGCAGCAAAATGAACACCCACAAGCGGGCTAGGCGTAAATTAATTCAGGGTTTAGGGTTTAGGGTTTAGGGTTTACCGGGAGAGCTGATGTGCAGAGTAGCAGCAGAAACTCCTGAGGCCCCCAAGTGCAGCAGCTGCGCCGTCAGCTGTCGAGACACCTCAGCAGAGAGGGGCTCCACCAGCAGCAGCAAGCTGCAGCAGCAAAAGCACTGCAGCAGCAGAAGCAGCGCTGGCCAGCTGCTGCTTGTCCGCAGCAGCAGCAGCAGCAACAGCAGCAGCAGTTAAGCCTCACCTGCGCTGCAGCAAAGCGGAGGCCAAGTCGGGCGGCGACGGGGGTGGGGCTGCTCGCTCGCGCAGTTGCTGCTGCAGCTGCTGCTGCAGTTGCTGCTGCTGCAGTTGCTGCCGC